CTGCCTCTATTTCTATTTGAAACTTTCCTTGTGTCAAATCATAGTAAAACAAGAATCAAATATTGAATTCTCAGCCATGCTAGGACATTTTGGAGTGGCCACTGAGCCTACTCAGAAAGGAGATGGTTGCTGTGATATCATGTCACATGAACTTAAACCTGATGTGTAATTGGCTTATATTTTGTTTAGGTCCTCAGGTTATCAAGTTTGATAATTGTGCTGGGCTGATAATGTGAGAAGTTTCTTCTCAACTGACCGCAACATACCTTGACTTGAATTGTTCTTTGAATTTTTTGGCAGCAGTCTACAGAATTCAAATGTGCTCAACTCAAACCCAGTCTACCAAAAGGAACCTTAGAGAGCCAACTCACAGTTTGCTTCAGATAATGATGTGCCTTGTGGATGGTCAGTAAAAAATGTTCAATCTAAGATGCAAGCAATGTCAACATGAACTGTGATTGAAAAATTTAAGAACATTCCTGGTCTTACCCAGCCAATTGGCTTAATTTTCAATTCACAAATCACTTCTGATCATATGAACTTGCTTGAGAGGAAAGGTTGCTTGACTAAACACTGAGAAATAATTCCAAGCTTCAAGCAATCACATATAAGTTTCTATAGAGAGCAAGGCAAAATAAAATTAAAAAACAACTTACTCAAATCTAAAATAACCCTATTTCCACTTTAAAAAATGTAAAATGTTTCTTTCAGGACATCAAGTTATTTTCAAATAATTTATAGTGCATCATTTTGCCATTTTGAAAACCAACAAACAGTCTCCAAAGTTCACCAACCTCAGACCAGAAAGTGGGGAGAGTGTGAGGGAAGGGTTAATAAGATTGGAAAAAATCTTATTTCTGTTATTTAAAAATAACCTTTAAATAAAGGAATTCTTCACTACAGTTTATAAACCATTCACAAATTAAATGGCTGCAACTTGTTTTACAAAGACCTGACACTAAGCAACAGATGTGCAGGTCTATTCTTTTGTATTTTCATGTGACCTGTTCTTTCTTATTTGTTTTTTGTCCTGATATTTTCATTTAGTTCAAATGTTTACCTTAAATATATTGTCAGTTTCAATGTGTTCTAAGGTTCAGCCAACAGAGGTTTGTTCACGAGTGTGGAGAAGGAAGGAATGACAAATGATCGATTGAAAATCACACAATATGATATTTCAATAAATTATTGCTCTTAGACAGATTCAAAAGTCATCTACAATAATCAAACAGTACTGTGTAATTCAAGTGAACTAAAAGCAATGGTAAACAGAAGACAGTTGAATCTTAAATGAAAAGCTGGAGGATCAATTGAAACACAAGAAAGTGATGACAACTAACTCCAGCCAGTATTTACCTGTCTTCTCAAATTACTGGAGATTGTCTGTTGAGTGGTTCACTCCCTTTAGTTGTTTCCTTTTGGTTTCACTTTTCTCGTTCCTTTCACTTGTTTCTGTTGGTTTGTTTTGCTAGTTTTGACAGTTTTGCTTGCCTCTTTGATTGCATTTCATCTTAGCAACTGCCCTGAGTCAATTAAAGAACTAGCTTATAAAGCATTAGTGAGACCTTGCCTAGAATGTGCAAGCCCAGTATGGGATCCGTGGATGGATAAGCATAGAAAGCAAATAGAAGCTGTACAGAGGCGATCTGCACGTTTTATAAAAAACTGCTGGAAGTGAACACCTGGAGCTGTCACAAATTTAATTAACAAATTGGTTTGGGCCCCTTTACAAGTCTGGAGGAAAATTGCTCATCTCACCCTCTTTCATAAGGCTATCCATGGTGAATCAGCAACAGAACTCCCAAGCTACATCAAAGGGCGCAATTGCCATCTATGATCTTCCCACAATAACAGATTCATAGATCGAGACCAAGAACAGAGGCCTACAGAAACTCCTTTTATTGCAGGACAATAAAGGAATGGAACTCTGCTTGACAATGTTTTAGATGTAGAAAAAACTCCATTATTTCAGAAAGCGCTTAGATTACAAGAAGATTAGAATAGAGTAATTAATTCAGCTTTTTAACTACCAAGTGACATTTATTTTAATTATATCACTAGTATTCTTATTTCTTATTTCAATTATATTTTATTTAATGTCTTACAGTGATGGGTACCCCCATTGTAGGACTTAAAATTTAAGTAGACGTAGATGTAGATGTAGATCTCAATTCAAAATTTCAGGTTTTAATGCACATGGTTATGTATAGAGTGAGCAACTATGAGTAAACATATCAGGAGGCAGACAGAGCTTCAACAGTGTACAAAGCATCAAGAGCAACTTTGTGAATTGAGTGAGTGAAAATTGAAAAATAATGTGGCACATGGTTGAAAAATTGAAAACCTTCATATTTTGCCCAGAGACACCTTAAAGTGAACATAGAAACATGGTGGGGTTTTTTTCCCCAAACTTGCTTCTTTGTCCTAGAAAATTCATGAAAACTGAAAGAGCACCGGTAACAGTAAAATGGTGGAAATCAGTGCCTTGGGTAGAGGCAAATGAACCTTGCTCATGAAAAGCACGAAAGAAAGCAAGTTCACATCGATTTTATAAATAATTTGTGTAGGAGGGATTGAGGTATGGTGGTCCAAGTCTAAAACAGGACCATTTCACTCAATTTGGAGCTCACAAAACTCTTTAAAAATCACCAATATTTCAAAATCCAAATATGGCATTTCATAGCAGATTTTCAATTATCATTTCCCTCATGCAGTATAACTCAAAATCAGTTCAGGTTAAGCTCACGATAAGTGAGAATAGTGCTGTTTTCAGGAATATAAAAATTAGCTTGGGGCTTTTCATTTCCGCATGGAAAAACCTGGCTAAACTTTGTGAAAATGGCAACATCCACATTTACATCATGACATAATCTAAAAAGGCACTGCAGTTAACTCTAGAATTCCAAGCACATTTTAGCAGTAAGCAGCCATGTTCAATCAGGAAATCAATGCAGTAAGCTAGCCTTGCATAACTAACGATGACAGATTGGTTTTTATCTCTGCTTTCAATTCAAATTCTCATCCATTTCCCATGGCGAAATTGTTTACAATGTCACATCCCGTAGGCTGGCAGAGGGTGTCTGTTTTTCTTGGCATATCAGAACACATTTAAGGTTTAAGAAAGTTGTAGGGTAAAATTGAGCTTCATTGTGGACTTGAAAGAGGACAATTCAATCATTTATACAGGTGAGTCAAATGTTCTTTGCCAAAGATGGGAAGCAATCTGATACTGCTGTAGATCCAACATACTCAAGCATTATTTTGTCATGTAAGGCTGAAGTTATTTACAAAAAACATTTTCTTCTTCCCCTCTTGAAGTATTTCAGCCCTGAAAATCACAGGTAATAATAAAATTATGTATAAAATACTTGTTCATTAGATAATGTAGAATATGTTACCTTCCACTGAAAAACAAAGATACAACAAAGTAAAAGGACTCACCCCCACCCTGCTGAGAGCCCCTTTGGTAACTGTTTTTAACTTAAAATAATAAGACTAAGTCACAAGTGAATGAAGACACTGAGACACGGATTTTTCAATTATCAAACAGATGGCAGCGTGAGATGGAGGGATACTAAAATTATTATGCTAGAATAAAAAAATGATGCACTGATCAATCGAAACTTCAACATGACCTTCCCTCAGAAATTTAGTTTTGGAAGATTGGTTCCTGCCCCTTTGGCCAAAATCACGTTCAAATGCCCCCACCCAAGTGCTAGATTTTAGTGGGTCTCAATGGTGTTACCCATTAGCCCTAAAACCACCATAAAAATTAGCCTTTAGGAGTACAAATTGACAAATTTTAACCGTTACTCATAAAAACATATACCATAAAAACTTTAGCATTAGCCGTATCAATGGCTAAAATTTCAACCATTAGCCATGATGTGTCAAGATTATATGGATTAGTGCAATACAAAAACCCTGTCGTCCGATCAATGTAGACCACTTCTAAAGCATGCAGGGAACTGACCACGTGACATGCGGGACATCCTGATCTGTGTCACGCAACATATTGTCAATAATTTTATTGTCACACATGACAGCCATCTTCCCACAGAGACCCTCATTTGATTGCCCCAACCATTTTTATTTCCCAGGTAAAGCACCTGTAATATAAAAAAGGTTGCCTAATGAAGTCTCTGCTGGCAAACCACAAATTAAAAGGAAATCTTAAATGTGCCATGCCATTTTGGCAGTTTGATTCGACTGGTGCTTTGCAACATTTTGGAAAACTTCGAAATTATAATTTACAGAAAAGAAAACCTGAAAAAGGTTTAGCTAGAAAATTGTTCTACAAAATGCCTTACTAATTCTGCAATCACCCAAGTGCATTATTCCTTTAGCATGGCTGGATAACCCTTCTAGAATGCACCCCATCTTTGTGACCCTCTCCTTTGGCTAACACATAAAGAAGAGTGATGCCCAGAACAGATGATCTAGTTCAATTGGTGGAGGGTGTGCTTAGAATTGATGCTCGATCTAAAAATTATTAAATAAAATGGTCCAGTTTTAGACTTAAGCCACACCTCAATCCCTCCTATACAACTTTATCAATTAATATGAGCTTGCTTTCTTTTGTACTTTACATGAGCAAAGCTCATTTGCCTCTACTTCGGGCACTGATTTCCGCCATTTCACGGAGCCCTACTGACACCTGTTTCAGTAGTCATGAATTTTCTAAGATAAGGAAGTGAGTTTGGGAAAAAATCTTACCAACAACGTTTCTAAGTTCACCGTTCGGTATCTGTGGGTAAAATATAAAGGTTTTCAATTTTCCGCCCATGTCCAACATTTTTTAATTTTCACTCAGTCTATTCATGCAACCATTCGCTCTTATTTGGTTTTGTTATTATTCTCAAAATTGTCTATTGTACCTTTAGTTTACTCTAGCACAATGTCCCACTATTAAAATTATTATCCTGCATCAAACTAATACTGATTAACAAGAGTGATACTGTCAACCAATCAATTCTCCAAAATTTGTGTATCCACATAAT